GCGTATCTTGGAACTGGAAAGAAACACTGATACCTGGGCCGAAGAGAAGGCATTCTTGACTGGTGAGGTGAAGAGGTATCAGGATTTATTTGAGAAGGAAGCGGAAGCAACCTTCGTAAATGTTATGGAGCAGGTGTGCTTCTTCAATCCTTCTATCAAGCTGGAAAACGTGCATTATTACCACTATTTCAAGAATGGTCAGCTAGTGACACTTAATGAGCAAAATCAAGAAGTTCCAGTGGAGTTGATCAGTGCGATGGATACTGAACCTATCGCGCCATCCTTGCATGAGCCATTTCCTTTGTTAACGCTATCGCGTTTGAGCATCGCGATATGTCTTGGGGGATCGTGACTTGAATAGTTCCGATCTGTTGAGGAGATCCTTGTGGAGGAGTCTGTTGATTGGAGGATTCGTGGGAGACTCCTAATATTTGATAGGATCCATGAGAGGAGTCCTGTTACTTGGAGGATTCGTGAGAGAATCCTAATACTTGATAGGATCCATGAGAGGTATCCTGTTAATTGGAGGATTCGTGAGAGAATCCCGATACTTGATAGGAACCATGAGAGGTTTCCTGTTAATTGGAGGATTCGTGAGAGAATCCTGATACTTGATAGGAACCATGGGAGGTTTCCTGTTAATTTTGGAGGATTCGTGAGAGAATCCTGATATTTGATAGGAACCATGAGAGGTTTCCTGTTAATTGGAGGATTCGTGAGAGAATCCTGATACTTGATAGGAACCATGAGAGGTATCCTGTTAATTGGAGGATTCGTGAGAGAATCCTGATACTTGATAGAAACCATGAGAGGTATCCTGTTAATTGAAGGATTCGTTAGAGAATCCTGATCAACAAGAACGTTGTGATCCTGTGTACTTAAGCTTGATACAAAATGATTAATAGCAAAAGGAAAATTGGCGATGTTTTTATTAAGAATGTCTTAAACTTGACACAAAATGATTAAGAATGCGAGAAGATAAATATGTTGTGAGTCGTAAGAGACTTAGCTATAGAATGTCTTAAGCTTGTCCGCGTTCCATGTGTGTGGGATAGCGAGACCAGATAATGTCTCAATGACATATTCCCCCTTATCCGTTTTGCTGTGGATGCGATAAGGTCCTTCCCAGTTTGCAGCCAATTTGCCTTGTCGCGCGTTCTTATTACCGATGTCAGCTCTGCGTAGGACTAAGTCGCCCACGTTGAAGCCTCGTCTGACAACCCTTAAATTATAGCGCGCTGCTATTCTCTGTTTAAGTGTTATTTCTTTAACGTGCGCAATTTCGCGCATTTCCTCTATCGCGTCTAAGTTATGAAGCAATGCCTGTGAGTTGTTGTCTTCATTTGTGTACATCTTTCGCCATGATGGTTCTCCAATTTCTACTGGGATCATGGCTTCACTACCATAGACCATGCGAAATGGGGTTTCTCCTGTAGTTGAATGTTTGGTTGTCCTGTAACCCCATAGCACAAAGTCTAGTTGTTCAGGCCATTCTCCTTTTGCTGCTTATAGTCTTCTTTCCAATCCGCGTTTAAGGACCCGATTTGCAGCTTCTGCCAATCCGTTAGTTTGTGGATGTTCAATCGATGTGTATCGGTGTTTGATATGCAAATCCTGAAGAATTTGATTGAATTTTCTGTCCACAAACTGTGTACCATTATCAGTTATGATGGTATGAGGAACGCCGAACTGACTTATGATTTGTCGGTAAAAGAAACAGCGAACCTTGCTAGCAGATATCGTAGCTAAAGCTTCTGCCTCGATCCACTTGGAGAAGTAGTTGATTGCTACCAGCAACCATTTGACTCCTCCCACAGCCACTGGGAATGGGCCCAATATGTCCATGCCCCATTGGTAGAATGGCCATGGGGACATCATTGAAGATAATTCCTCAGGAGGAGCATGATGTAAGTCTGCATGCTCCTGACATTTGACTCACTGTCGCACGTGTTTTTTGGAGTCATCTTCCATAGTTGGCCAAAAATAGCCTGCGTGAAGCAGTTTTTGAGATAAGGATTTCCCTCCCATGTGATGTCCGCCAATTCCCTCGTGTACCTCAAATATTACATACTGAGCTTGCTGAGGATCTAAACATTTAAACATTGGAGAGGAAAACCCTTTCTTGTAGAGTTGGTTGTTGATGATAGTGTAGAACGAAGCCTTGCGCGATAGCTTTTTTGCTGCGCCTGTTTCTTGTGGTACCTCTCCTCTGACCAAATAATTCCAAATTGATGTCATCCAAGTCTCCGTACCGTCTAATGGTATGTTGTCATCATCCACCATGGATTGTGCATTTTGGGATGGTTGAGCTCTTCACTTAGTTACTGCCATTATGATGCTAGGATTAGGGACGCTTTGTTGGATTACTGATCTGTTGTTTCCTGGTCCCTTTGTGCTGGTTAACTTGGATAAAATGTCAGCGCGGGAGTTTTGCTCTCTGGGGATGTGCTCCATGGTGAAGCTTTGAAACTCTGTCAGAAGTAATCTTACTTTTTCCAAATATTTTATCATTAATGCTTCTTTCGCCTGGTAGCTTCCTTGGACTTGAGCAATCACTAATTGTGAATCACTCTTGAGAATTATGTTTTTTGCCCCCAAGTCTTTGGCCATGGCGAGCCCAGCGAGGACCGCTTCGTATTCGGCTTGATTGTTTGAAGCTTTGAATCCAAAATGGATAGAGTGCTCCACAGTAACGCCTTGAGGGCTTTCTACGATGACTCCTGCACCGCTCCCTTTAACATTGGAAGATCCATCGACATAAATAACCCAACCCTCACTCATCTCAGCGTCATGTAGGTGTGTCATTTCGACAAGGAAATCTGCTAATACCTGGGCTTTAATTGCTTGTCGCGGTTCGTAGATGATGTCGTATTCCGACAATTCTATTGACCACGAGATCATGCGGCCTACCAAATCCGGTTGTCTCAGCACTTGTCGAAGGGGTTGGCTTGTGCGAACTTTGATAGTGTGTCCCTAGAAATAATGGCGTAGGCGTTGCAATGTCAAGATGAGCGCGAAAGCAACTTTTTCAATTTGCTGATAGCGTAGTTCTGGTCCTTGGAGTGCTTTGCTCACGAAGTAGATTGGCTGTTGTTCCTGGTTCTCTTCGCGCAATAAGACAGCGTTTATGGCTTCATTGCTGACTGAGAGGTATAAGACCAAAGGTTCGTTGGGCAAAGGCCTGACCAAAACTGGTGAGTTGGCCAAATGTTCTTTAATGGCCATGAACCCTGCCTCGCACTTGGGAGTCCATGTGAAATTTGACTGTTTGCGCAATAGTTTAAACATTGGCAATGACTTTTGTGCTGACGCAGGAAGGAATCTGGTTAGAGCAATAATTCTTCCCGTCAATTACTGTAGTTCCTTTATGTTTCGCAGGCTGGTCATGTTGAGTATAGCCTTACAGTTATCAGGATTGGCCTCTATGCCGCGATGTGTCAGCATGAATCCTAAAAACTTTCCAGCTGGTACTCCAAACGCGCATTTGGCAGGATTAAGTCGTAACTTGTATTTGCGCAGTTGCTGAAACACTTGTTCCAAATCCTGGGGATGTTGTACAGTAGTCATTGTTTTGACTATCATGTCATCAATGTATACTTCAAGCATCTAACCAATCTGCTGACTGAAAACTTTATTCATCATGCGTTGGTAAGTAGCACCGGCATTCTTAAGACCAAACAACATCATATTATAGCAGTAGGTAGCTTTTTCAGTGATAAAAGTTGTGGCTTCCTCATCTGGTGTGAACATCGGAATCTGGTTGTAGCCCGAATATGCGTCCATGAAGAATAAGATCTGGTATCCTGCAGAATTGTCAACCAATTTATCGATGGTGGGAAGTGGATAGAAGTCCTTTGGGCAGTATTTGTTGAGATCTGTGTAATCTGTAACATGCGCTACTTTCCGTTGGGTTTTTTGACTAGTACGACATTGGAAAGTCAAGTAGAGTACGTGATTTCTCTGATTACTCATGCATCAAGTAGTTTTGCTACTTCGGTCTCTACCACCATCTGTTTTTCTGGGGAAATCTTGCGCTTTTTCTGCGCGATTGGTTTAACTTTGGGGTCTAACGTTAAATGGTGACAAATAACGTATGGGTCTATTCCTGGCATGTCAACTGTTGTCCAAGCAAAGAGATCTTTATGTTTCAATAGCACTGTTACCAACGCGCTCTTCTCGGCTTAGGGGAGGTGTCGCCCAATTTTGGTGACGTTTTCAGGTAGTGGCCCTACCTGAAGGTTTTCCAATTCTCCATCGGGTTGAGGACGTGTATCCCGCAAATCATTGCGCATATCGAGATCTGTCATATTGACAGATGCTTTGACTTTGTCATCAGATGGTAAAAGGGCTTTGGCTCGTAGGCTTGTATTATAGCAGCTGCGCGCTGCTTTCTGGTCACCCCTGATAGCGACTACTGCGCCAGATGTATCGCAGAATTTCATCAAAAGGTGGGGCATAGAGATGATTGCCTTGAGTGCGGCAATGGTTGGTCTTCCTAGGATGATGTTGTATGTCGATGGGTATTCAATAACATAAAACCATACTTTGATAGTACGCACCTAAGGCAGGATTCCATAGGTTACCCACATCTCAATGGTGCCCTTAGGTTGTACGCATTCTCCAGCGAAGCCAATTAGGTCTGAACATCCATGAAGTAAATGTTCCTCTGGGATGTGCATCGTGCGAAAAGCATCCCAGAAAATAATATCAGTTGAACTACCATTATCAACCATAATACGCTTTACCTGGAGATTAACCATGCAAGCTGAGATCACCAACGGGTCATCATGGTCTGTGATGATGTCGCCATAGTCGTCGTCGTCAAAACTTATGGCCTGTCTTTGACTACGAGAAGTGGAATGGCGAGCGTGATCGTGCACCGTCATGACTGATTTCAGATGTTTTTTGCGTTGAGATTTTGTCGCACCTCCTCCCGCTAATCCACCAGCAATGGTAGCTAAAACTCCTGCCGCGTTATGAGGTAGTCCATCGCGCTGTTGCTACGTGGTTCGCTGTCTATTTCGCGGTGGAGATCCCTGACGTCTGTCAGTCAGAGTTGCTCTTCTTTGATCATTGTTACGAGCAAGGTTATAGTTTCTCCTGGGATACGCCCTTTGTTCATTGGAATTTGGGTCGTGGTCTGGACTTCTATCGCGCCTCCTCAGCGCCTTATACTCCCTGCAACTGGAAATGAACTCCTGGAGTTTTCCTTCTCGTATGAGTGCCTCAATGGTATTTTTGAGCGCGAGGCATTCATCAGTTATATGACCTTTGTCATTGTGAAATTCACAAAATTTAGTTTCATCACGCTGCACTCCTTGCGGCATTGGGGGTTGCCTGTTGACCCGTACATACCCTGTTTGGAATACTTCCTTCAGAATACGTCTTTGGTAGGTGTTTAAAGAGGTGTAATTGTCATACTTTTCCCACTTTCTTTTTTCACGAAATTTTCGTTGAAAACTCTTATGGACATCTCTTTCAAAGTTGTCTGTGTTGGCCCTGGTGTAAGAAATTTCTCGTGAGCGCTTGTAATCTTCGAGGTTGATGAATTTTTCTGATCGTGAGCGCAATTCCTCTATGGTGCGCGGTCGCTGTTTGGCTAGCGACATGGAGAAAGGGCCTTCAACTAGTCCTTCAGTAATGATGTGTAGTGAGACTTGTGAATCCAAATCTCTGACCAAAAGTGCTTCATCGAAGAATCTGTTTAGATAATCACGCAAGGTTTCTTTAGATCCTTGACGCACAGTTTTTAACGCGTGCGTAGATTTGTATTGCGCCTTGCTCGTTGCAAATCGTATGAGGAATTGGTTGGTTAGGTCGTCCCAACTTTGCACCGAATTAGGTGGCAACGCTGAGTACCACCTAAGTGATGTCTCCTTTAGGGTTGTCGGAAACAGTCGACATGCTATTGGATCTGCCACATCCTGTGCCATCATGTTTGTCTGGAATTGTTCCAGATGCTCTTGGGGATCCCCCTTGCCATTATATTTTTCTGTTGAGATCTTGATATCCCGAGGAATTGGGATGTTCATTATACAAGGAACGAAAGGGTGAACGATTCGAGAGAATATTCTTGAATTTTCATGAGAATTTTCATTCTCATGAGTATCTTTTATTTCTTCACCTTTCTTATTTTTGTGACCCGAAGGTCCTGGGTTATCAGCTGAGTGTGCATGGGGTGGTTCACTTTCATCAGAATTTTCAGGATTTTTTTCTTTCTCCGAATCTTTTTCTTTTCCTTTTTCTTGGATTTTGTCTTTGTTCTTTTGAGCTTTTTTCAATCGAGCTAAATCTTGATTCTGCTGGGCGATTTTCTTATTCTGTAGTGTGATGAGGTCCAACAGATGTTGGGGTGTCGGTGGGTCATCCAGGTGGATGGGACAGGGGAAGCAGGGGTCTCCTTCCGCTTTCCTTTGGAGCCATTCTGGGATTTGCTGCGAGTGTCAACCATGTTTTTAAAGAAAGGTGGGTAGTAATTTCCCACAGACGACGCCAATGATCGGACCAGATATAGTATGAACTAGCCTATATGTATAGAGCCCAATCACACACGGTTGAATCACCTTACGTTGTTGTTGGCATTGGCCTAGTATTGCTGTCGGACTGATCTTGAGCTTTGTCCTTCACGTTGGCACATTGCACCAAATGGGGGGGTACCTGCGAAGACACTCTGATGCTTAAGTTAGTATCAGAGGCAGGTGTGCTATCTTGTTACAGTAAAGGATGATCGTACCTTGGTGGTATATCGTGTGTTTATATAGTAGCTGGGATGCCGCCTTAGTTAAGGCGGCTTGACTTCTGAGTGGCCAGCCTTGGGCTGTAAATTATTTAGGGGACCTATGTAGCCTTATCTTCCAGAGGGTCTAGTAGTAGATTTGAGGCAAGCTGGAGCTATTCGTTGTTTACTGGAGCTAAGGCGCGGTGGAGTTACCTTGAGCCTTACGTTTACCTCTCTTAGAAGGTTTCATGCGCGATATGAGGATCGAGTCTTGTGTGCCGCGATGAGACCATCGCGTCCTGTATGTCGCGATTGGGATATCGCGTCTGGAACGCCGCGATGTGGGCATCGCGTCAATGCTTGTTCTTTGTGCTTCGGAAGGGCTTGGACTTTCCTTATGGGGCTTTGATTGAGCCTATATTTTATCCGGATCAAAACCCAAAATGATATCGTTTTAGGGCAAAAATTAAAGTATTTTTATAATTAATTTTATTTCAAGATTATAATAATATTTCTCATTATAATTTTTTAATCTTTCAACTCAGAACGATGTCATTTTAAAAGTGAATATATATAACTTATTTACATTTACTGTAGAAATATTAAAACCATATTTTATCTACAATTAATTTGTCAAACTTTAAAATTATTATTTTAAAATTTCATTCATAATCACTGTCATTGTCGTCTTTCATTAATGTGATGTCAATTTTTAAAATTATTTATTTTTATTTTCATTCTTTAGAATTGTAGAAAGTGTAGTTAATCATCTAATAGTTGGCATTCTTTAACCAGATTTGCATTCAGTATTTATGTTACGGTATGTCCCACTATCAAGCCCAAGAGTATTCACAAGCGCCCATCATATTCGTACCTGCATAAGTGTTGGAAGACAGCCCAATTAAGTGACTTTAGGTGGTACTTGATTAGGATTTTAAAAGATTTTTTTGATATAAATAATCTTATAGATTTTAAAAATTATTTAGAATTAGAAGGACTCTAAAGACTTTTTTAAAGAACTTTTTTTACAATCAAGATTTCATAAGATTGAATTTTAATAGAATTTATAAGATTTGAAAGGACAATATGAATTTATAAGATTTTAAAAAATATGAATTTTTAACATACATTCAAAATTATACGAGTCAATAAAAAAAATGCAATGATATTAATAAAAAAAAAATTAAAATCTAATATAATTTTTTCAATCAGTAAAACATAATATAGATATCGATATCCGTGTGGCCGTCCGTCTATTCTCCTTTCATGCAGGGTCCTATTACATAATGTGTTAGCTTTTCGTGACTACCGGTTCCTTGAATAGTTCTGTAATTTCTCATTTTACTGGGATGAAAATCTCACTCCTTTTGGGGATTAAATTTCAGGGAAAGATCACAATGTGGTGGGAGCAGCCCAAGAGGATACTAGATAAATGAAGTTGTATCAAGTCTATAATGTTTTGATGTCATCATCTTAACGACATTAGGCCCTTTTGATGTATGAATGTAGAACTTATGTATTTTGTGAAATGAGGATTACATCATGTCCAGCATTACTAGTTACTAGTAGAATATGGTTGTGTGTTGTTCATGTAGTTGGAATTAAAATGTACTCTCAGCACTAATTTTTCTATAGAAACACCATGGGCAATGAGTATGTATAATTAGGGGTTGGAATGTCAAGATGTAAAATTCTAGTGATAGGAAATAACATATGTCCGTCTACACCCCTTTAAGGTTCTAAATTTTGCAAGAAATAATCCAGGTATGGAATAATTGAAAAGCATAAAAAAAATTCTTTTGAGTGAAGTCAAATCCATATTGGACTTTTAGTAGATTTATTATTCTGCCTGTTCAAGCAACTTTTGACCTAGGATCGAAAATCAAAATCCAACAACTTATTGCCATCAGGATTGAAAATCAGTCACATTCAAAAGAACAGGCCACCACGAGATTCATCTTTTGATTTAGATAAAAATCTATCATCTGCAAATCTTTATAGACAGAAAATTTAGCAGTTTTTCAGGGATGCGAGTAATGAAGATCCAGTCAGTTCCTAACTCAAATATCTCATAACAAGATAGAGCCTTCCAGAAGAAACCACTCTAATTCTGGATGCTTTCCTAATTGTTCGTTATCAAATGTCTACTACAGTTAGTTTGAGTAGTATAATAGAATAAGAAGCGAAAAGAGCCAATTCTTGTTTCATGGCCCTGTGAAACAGAATGGGGGGAAAACAAGGGAGGTATAGAGAACTGTATATTTCCTTGGAAAAACATATTCACTCGGAGAAGTAGGTAGAAATGGGAGATTTAGAAGAATTCTCGGTGAATTACTCAGACTAATTTAACTGTCACCATCTAGAAGAGATCAAAATGGAGATTAATTCATAATAATATAAACCAATTTCCTTCCTTTTCCCGTGATCTCACAAAGGGATCCCTTAATTTCCTTCTCTCCTCTTTTAACAATTAAAACAAACGGAAAGAAACTCATTACATTACCATCATGTTCCATTCTGACTATCATTACAATGTTCCTTGAAGTCTTCTCCCCCCTAAAAATAGGCATTAAAATTTTGCCTCACCTGCATCCTAGTCAGAGGAAGCTAGAAGTTGTTGCAAAGTAATGCAAACCAGGGCCAGACAAGAGAAGGGTTTATTTAATATGAAATGGAAGAAAGGTAAACTCATGTACTTAACAGAACAATACTTCCTGACTCATGCATTAAATTCAATCTTCAGATAGAGTAGCAAGCAGCCATCGAGCCTTGAGAACAAAAAACTCCCCCCTCAAGAGTACAAGAGAATAGGGTCAAAGGTCATTGACAAGGCCACTTGGCTAACAGATGCATGTGAAAAGGAATATATGCTGGAATTTTAACTGCCACTATGAATTCAATAGTTTCCTTCCCTCTGATGACATTGAGTACTTGATAAAATAATTTAATATTGAAAGGGGCAACTTAAAGGGGATAAATTGGCACAAACCTTTAAGACAAATCTCTACCACGGAATCTGAAAGACTTTGAAAACCTCTATGTTCCGGGGAGATGTCTGACAGCAATTAAGGGTTCTTTCTGCTCCCTTTGAAGCTTGAATAAAAAGAAAAAGTGAAAAAAAGTAAATTTCTTTGACTGATCTCTAATTGACAACAAAGAGAAAGAAAGAGATATTTAACTTCTAAATTCATACCTGGGCTTCTAACTCCACAATTCTTTGCAAAGATGCCTGTTCAATGCAAGCACGGCGCTTACGTTCTTCATCTAGTAAACCTGTCATTTGGTATCTCAGTTCTGCCATTTCCTGAGCTAGGTCCTCTGCTTCTTCTTTGGCCTTCAACTTTTCCTCTCTCAATTCTCCCTAGTAAAGGGAGTTGAAACACTTCATAAATCTCCAAGCTAAAAAATGATTTCAATTAAAGGAGTTATGTCACAAGCATCTTGTTTTCTTCATTGTATTTAACAAATTGACGTAGATGAATGATCAAAGTAAGAGAAAGTGACCATACCTTAAGTTTCTCCACAAGAAATTCATATTCTTGCATCTGATGGGACATCTTCTCCCTCTCCCCTTTTAAATCTGCAACTGGTTCCAAGAACATTGCCAATCTTGCAAGAAATGGACCAAATACTTCTCCATAAGAACTGGTGAAATTTCATGAAAACATTACTAGAAAATTAGTGCAAGAACACTTCAAATACCAAAAAAAGGGAAACAATCATACATCTATATTATCTCTAACAACAGGATAAAATGATCGCATGATCTTTTTCTCTACCTAAGCAAAAATAAGTATCTGCTTAGACATGTTGAATTTGTTGTAATGAGCATGTTGATCGTTAAAAATAACATTTTCAAAAGACCCAAAGGTGCAGTCAAGTCAATTTAATAAACACTTAAAATATCATGTATAGGCCTACAATTCTGATCAAATAAATAATGTTATGACTTTGTGTAAGTAGCTCTATATTTCTTTTATTTTTCAAGTAAAAACAGAAATATTATTTTACTCTCTGAAACTAGCATATAGAAGGTCAAGCAAAAATGTATGCAAGAGTAGGGAGAAGACCACAATGAAAACCTTCATCATCTACCAACTACTATGCAATTAAAATTACATACAAAACAAAAGCAAATACAACATACAATAAACAGAATAACTAACTTCCTTATGCACCTTATGTCCTCTGATATAGTAGAATTACTCTCTTGTTCACTCAGGGAGGATTGACGGTTGAGTTCTGATCTGCCCTTTTTTTCAATCCAGTCTTCAATCTTTTGAGAAAAACTTCTAGTGTTCATGTATGTAGTATCAAGCTTCCTTTTAAGTTCCCTATTTTCCTCATTTAGAGAGATGATAAGTTTTTGCGCATCCTGAAATGCAACCTGGAGCTCATTGATCAATCTACTCAGTCTAATTTTTTCATCGACAGTTTGTTCCAGGATTTTTTTAGCCTCAAAACAACTCTGTTCCAAGGCCATCATATCAAGCTTCATACTTTCTATTTCACACTGAGACTCTAATGTCATGGACGAAATTGATTCCTCCATTTTCTCTATGGACAAGGATGACTTCTGTAATTCCAATTGTTTAGTCTGTAGTTCCTGCATCAAGAAAAACTGCTCCGAATTGGACCTCTGAAGTTCCTCCCTTAACCATAAAACCTCTTCTTGTAAATCTTCCATCTCCTTTAATTTCACTTCAAGGCAGTGAACACATTTTTTCAGATGATTAACCTCTGTGTTGCTCGAATTTAGCTGATCCTGAAGGTAATCTGTATAAAGCATGATCAAATTAACCAATTTAAGTGTTTTTATAACTAAAATTTTAATGCATGAGCCAAATTCAATTAAAAAAATGTATTCCACAGGAACTCATTGACTACTTTAAATTAAGACATCTAAGAAAAAAAACTCCTACTCATGAATGGCAATCATATGTTCACAAATGGTTTACCAATGAAGGTTAATATACGCAATAATGCACACTGTTTGTCTTATACAGCAGCATGTATGCCATAAAGATAAAAAGGAAGGAAGAGAAAAAAATATTTTTATCCAGTAATCATATGAAATAGTTTTAGTGCTTTGTTTGGAATTACTTAAATTTAGAGAAAATCACTTCTTTTTTTCAAAAGCTCTCTTAGTAAGACTTTGATTATAAGCTACTTTAAAAATAAAATAAACTAATCCAAACACACACTAATCACTTTCGAATGCAAGGGGCCAAAAAGCAGCATCAAGACAGACTACCTATTTCTTGAGAATAATTCAGTAGCTCTTTTTCCAACCTCTGGATGTGTTTCTTGTCTTCTGTATGGGCATCTAACATTGACTTCTCATGTAGTTCTAGTAACTGCATAAATGTCATAAATCAGATTGCTATAATTTGTTTGCAAGAAAATGCTCAATTATTGAAATTTCATAATGATTTCACAAGAGTATATCCCAACAAGCAGTGTCAAGATCTAATGAGCCAAGAAAGAGGGATTCTATACAGTATTCAACCCTCCTTTCTATTCTTCACCATATATTGTTCTTTACCCCCTCTTTGACTAATGTACTTTGGATGTGAAAGAGTTTTGCATGGTATGCAGATTCATTGAATAAACATTGACTGCCGGTTCAGGAGAATATACACTTGCATGTAGTTCCTTGTCAAGAACCAACAATCCCAAAAGCTTAAGCTATATGGTGAAGGATCATGAATTATTTTTATCTCTAACACGCCCTCTCATACAAAATCCAGTTGAGCTTGAAGTGGGGACAATACATAGGCCCACTACCTTGTACTGAAGTTCAACTTTTATTTAAAAGAATGGGCATTATAAGTATCGAACTTTTGATCACTTGATCATATAGATTCTAATACCATATCAAAAACCAATTATCCCAAAAACTTAAGACTTAAACTGTTAGAATATTAGATATGATATGATTAGATATGATTAGATATGATTAGATATGATTGGATTCTGTCTTATCCGTAAATAGTCTGACTGTATTAGGATTAGGTTTGGGTAGGTTTGGGCCTTACACTTAAGCCCATTAGGGTCTCTATATATTGTAACTCCCTGACACAGATCAATACACAACGTATTCTTTTACATTTAACTTGGTACCAGAGCTATTTCGTTCTGGGAACCCTCGCTTCTGCTTAGAAATCTTGTTCTTCGCTTTAAAACCTAAGCCCACTGCTTAGGAGTCATCTTTTCTTTGTCGTGCGTCCTTCCGGCAAGACATCAAGGACTGTAAGTCCTCTCCAGGCATCTTCTGCACGTGTCCACATCCTCAAACAGTCACCGGAGCCACCATCAGCCACCGTCAGCCACTGTTCAGGCTGCCGCAGTACTTTTCCGGCGAGTTTTCAGTCTGGAACGAACGCGAGCAGAACCCTCTCCTCCCGGCGACCTGCTCTGTGGAAGTCCGGCCACCATCGGAGTTGTCACGCGCTCTCACGCGCCTCCAGTCTTCTCTGCGCGTGGGCTTCACGCGCCACCTTCTGCCGGCGCGTGAGCACTATTCCGGCGGCTTTTTCCGGCCGGTCTTGGATAGAGAAACTCGCCTTCTCCTCCCCTTCCTGGATCTGTGATTGTTTCTCTGTGGGTCTGACCTTAGACGCGTGGTTCTTCTTGATTGGATATCGTTTGCCTTCGTTTACGGCTTTTATATTTTATCTTTAAATGGCAGCAGCATCTCCTGATCTCTCGGAGGTTAACTCTCCTTCTATGGTTGCAAATATAGCTCAGTCAGACAATGCATCATTTGGTTCAGGTTCGGACTATGCTGCACTCCAAACCCCTCTCAGGAAGGCTTCTCCTCAGTCTCAGCCTTATACTGGTAATTCTGTTGCTTGTGTTTCTCATTCTACATCACTTGGCACTTGGATATTTGACTCCGGTGCTACCGATCATCTCTGTGGTAATAAGGAACTCTTTACATCTCTTACTTATTCTGATCATTTACCGTCTTTTACCCTTGCGGATGGAACCAAAGCCCCAGTTCGTGGGATTGGACAAGCTCATCCGACCTCTACCTTGGCCCTGACATCTGTCTATTACATTCCTGGCATCCCTTATAACTTAATTTCTATTAGTAAGTTGATCCACTCCCTCACTTGCACCATTACTTTCTCTAACCATTTTGTTTCTGTGCAGGATCCGGGTACGGGGAAAATGATTGGAGTGGGTCGTGAGTCACGGGGGCTTTATTATCTGGATGTGCCTCGTCCTTCAGTCACATGCTCTCTCACAGAATCTCCACAACTTATCCACAGTCGCCTTGGTCATCCAAGTCTTTCAAAGTTGCAGAAAATGGTTCCTCTTTTGTCCGGTCTTCAGTCTTTAGATTGTGTGTCATGTCAACAAGGGAAGCATACACGCTCCTCTTTTGCCAGTCGAGTCAATAAACGAGCTGATGCCCTTTTCTCTCTTGTTCATTCAGATATCTGGGGTCCAAGTCGTACCTTGTCTGTCTTAGGTTTTCGGTATTTCGTTACCTTTATTGATGATTTTTCCCGTTGCACTTGGACCTATTTAATGAAAAATCATTCTGAGTTATTTTCCATTTATAAAAGGTTTTCTACTGAGATCCAGACTCAATTTGGTGTTTCTATTCGTATTCTACGTAGTGATAATGCTAAGGAATATGTTTCTATTGATTTTTCTAATTTCTTGGCCACACAAGGTACTTTACATCAAACTACTTGTCCTCACACTCCACAACAAAATGGGGTGGCTGAACGTAAAAACAGACATCTCATTGAAACTGCCTGTACCCTTCTTATTCATATGCAGGTTCCCCTTCACTTCTGGGCAGATGCTGTACTCATCTCTTGTTTTCTCATCAATCGCATGCCTTCATCTGTGCTCCACAATGACATTCCTCATAATCTATTGCTTCCAGATGTTCCTCTTTATCCTCTAACTCCACATGTCTTTGGTTGTACTTGTTTTGTTCATGATCTCACTCCTGGTAAGGATAAGTTAACATCCAAAGCCTTTCAGTGTATCTTTCTTGGTTATTCTCGTCTTCAAAAGGGTTATCGTTGTTATTCTCCCGACCTTAAGCGTTACTTAGTTTCCGCTGATGTCACTTTTCTTGATCAACAACCCTTTAATTCTATCCCATCTCAGATGTCACAGGTTGATCATGTACTTCCTGTCCCTTTTCTTGGCTTGTCTTTGCCAGCTGCAGGTGCTTCTATTTCAGATGAGCAACCTATTGCTTCTATACCTGAGGACCGTCCACTTCTCACCTATCAGCGTCGCAAAATTGTGCCTCCTGTCGACTCGACTCTTGCTGACTCATCGCCCACTGCTGTTGCTTCTTCCCCTCCGGATCCTTCATCAGAGACTCTTCCCATTGCTCAAAGAAAAGGTACACGTACTACTCGTAACCCTTATCCTCTTTATACCTTTTTGAGTTATGACCGTCTTTCTTCACCTCATTTCACCTTTGTTTCTAGTCTTTCTTCTATTTCTATTCCTAAGACCACAGGTGAAGCACTTTCCCATCCAGGGTGGCGCCAAGCAATGCTTGATGAGATGACTGCACTTCATTCCAATGGCACTTGGGACCTTGTTCTGCTCCTCCAGAGAAGTCTATAGTTGGTTGTCGCTGGGTTTTTACTGTGAAAGTTGGACCTGATGGCCATATTGATCGTCTCAAGGCACGTTTAGTTGCCAAGGGTTTTACTCAAATCTTTGGCCTTGATTATAGCGATACATTTTCTCCGGTCGCTAAGATGGCGTCAGTCCGCCTCTTTCTTGCCCTTGCTGCTGTTCGTCACTGGCCACTCCTTCAACTTGACATCAAAAATGCCTTTCTTCATGGTGATTTACAAGAAGTTTACATGGAGCAACCACCTGGTTTTGTTGCTCAGGGGGAGTTTGGAAAGGTGTGTCATCTTCGGAAATCCTTATATGGTCTCAAGCAGTCTCCTCGAGCATGGTTCAGTCGCTTCAGTTCTGCTGTTCAGGCGTTTGGCTTAATCCGCAGTAAAGTTGACCATTCTGTGTTTTATAGGATTACATCTCCTAATAAGTGTATCTATTTGTTAGTCTATGTTGACGATATCATTCTCACCGGAAGTGATCAAGACGGAATTCGTCAGTTAAAACAGCATTTGTTTAGTACATTTCAAACAAAGGACCTTGGGAAGCTGCGTTACTTCTTGGGAATTGAGGTGGCGCAATCCAGACAGGGCATCTCTATCTGTCAAAGGAAATATGCCTTGGATATCCTAGAAGAAACTGGTATGTTGGGGAGTAAACCAGTTGATACACCTATGGATCCTAATGTCAAGTTATTACCCGGACAGGGGGAGCCGTTATCTGATCCTGGACGTTATCGGAGGCTAATTGGGAAGCTCAACTATCTTACTGTGACTAGGCCAGATATTTCTTTCGCTGTTAGTACGGCTAGTCAGTTTCTTGATTCCCCTTGTGATTCACATTGGGATGCTGCTGTGAGGATCCTCCGATACATCAAAGGAGCACCAGGAAAAGGTTTGTTGTACTCAGATCAGGGAAATACAGAAATTTGTGGTTATTCAGATGCTGATTGGGCAGGATCACCCTCGGACAGACGCTCTACTTCTGGCTATTGTGTCTTCTTTGGAGGAAACTTAATTTCGTGGAAGAGCAAGAAACAACTTGTTGTTGCTCGATCTAGTGCAGAAGCTGAGTATCGTGCAATGGCAAACGCTACCTGTGAGTTAGTCTGGTTAAAGCAGTTGATTCAGGAGCTTCATCTTTGTGAACAGAAACAACCCATGACACTCATCTGTGATAATCAAGCTGCGCTACATATATCCTCTAATCCTGTCTTTCATGAGAGGACCAAACATATAGAGATTGATTGTCACTTCATTCGAGAAAAGATTCAGTCAGGAGAAATCAAGACTGCTTTCGTCAACTCCTCTGATCAACTAGCGGATGTTTTCACTAAAGCTCTTAGAGGTTCTCGAGTTGAATACATTTGTAACAAGCTTGGTGCTCATAATATATACGCACCAGCTTGAGGGGAAGTGTTAGAATATTAGATATGATATGATTAGATATGATTGGATTCTGTCTTATCCGTAAATAGTCTGACTGTATTAGGATTAGGTTTGGGTAGGTTTGGGCCTTACACTTAAGCCCATTAGGGTCTCTATATATTGTAACTCTCTGACACAGATCAATACACAACGTATTCTTTTACATTTAACTTAAACTATTAGGGGAAGGCTAATATATCTAACACTCATTAATCGTCTAAAAAGTTGCACGCCACAAATCTAAATGGCTGACACAAATATTAGAGCAAGTCTTTAATTTGAATTGGAAGTTCAGCGAGAGTTTCTGTATAAAAATTTCACGGCGGAGGATAATTGCAAGGGGAGTTTTTTATGTTCATCAAGCATTGCAATTACATATTATCACCTTGAAATTATCCACAATAACCACACAACCAAAATGTAGTAATGGTTTTGCACAAATACAATGTAATAACAAGTAAAATAAATGTAAATACGTCTAAAATGCACTATACTGGGAATTTTGGGGTCAACAAGACCAAATATAACACATTAAGATGCCAAAGATAAAAAGCTAGTTAATTACATATATTACTGTACTGTATAACTTATAATGAGTTAATAACAAGTAACCTAGAATGTAACGTACTCGGATTAATTCAAAGCTTTGGGATTGTGAACTTTTCAATTTGTCCTTTTCTTTTCTAAGCTGCAAATCATAATCAAGATATATATCAGTACTCAAAATACCACATAATGCACAGATTTAAGTTATTAACAGCTTGTATATCCCAACAAAAATTTGAAAATTTTAGAACATTTACATAGAAGTTATACTTTATTCCAATGGGTACAAGAACGAAGAAATTTGATAAATCAAAAGAAATTTGATAAATCAAAAGAAATTTGATAAATCAAAAGAAATTTTAAAAAGAAAAAGTAAAATAAATACAAGGTGTTTTGCCCTCTAAAGTTTTGTATGAAAATCATCCATAATGCAACCAAGTGATAACATATTCTTCATTTTCAAGCTGTGAATGCACTTGATTATCATATGAATAATAGGTAACCTCATATACATAATTCTATAAATTAATAAGATTAGGAATTTCATCAAACCAGACAACTTAAATTAGGAAATGATATATTACCTGTCTACATCTTGTTCCAATTTGAAAGAGTTCCTCCACATCTAAGGGAGTATCACTATCACTTCTGGAGCTAATTGACATTTACGAAATCAAAATTCACACAAGTGCATAACAGGACTGCCTGATTAATATTCATCAGCATATAACCAAAGTTAAAATCTTCCAACACTAAAATAAGAAACACCGATCCAACAATCATTACACACCAAAGATTTCAGAATTAAAAAAAAAAAAAAAAACCCTAATAATAAGGGATTACATTATTAAAAATGGAATTAGCAGCAAGTCCATGCAACAAAAGAAGAGTCATATTACTCCGTCAACATTTTCCAGTTGAAACTTTTTATTTTCTTTAAAAAAAAAAAAAAACAGTCGATACTTGAAATATGACTGTGACAAAAAAGAGAGGAATGAATGATACAACGCTTATTACATTCCTACAATTTATAATCAAATATTTTCTTCTTTAACAAAAATTTCAAAAAAAAAAGAGAGAGAGAGAGAGAAAAGAAAACATACTGTTTGGTTGCAAATTAGAGAACCCGATCACAGTGTTTTCTAATAGAATTGACCATAGAAATGAATTCAGTTAAACCCTTCAAAAGGGATTCACTAAAGATTCTATTACTATTGGGGATAAAAAATATAATCCCAAATTAACGCCAAAACCGAAGTGAGAAAGTTGGAAACCGGAAACGTTTTTTTTTTTGTGAAAGACACCCAAAAACCAACGTGAAAGCGGGAAAAACGGAGCTTTGAACTAACCTGGTACTGGACTGGAGGAATCAGAAATCAAAATTGGAATAGCAGCTGCTTTGCCAAAGGAGAAGTTTTTGAACGTTAGTTAAAGGATGGATACATTAATACATTATTCAAATTTACTTAAGTTTCTTTGCTTTTTACATTTCCCAAAAATTAAAAGATAAATAATCATGTTTTCTTTTTCCCATCTTTTTTCTAATGATACGGATTTCAATTTTCAAATCATTATTTTATGTTAAATTTTACCCTTATAAAGTTATAATATAGAATAGAATTACATAAAAGGTTTTGATGTTTACCGTCACTTGAACATAATCTTATCTCATACGTAAATATAAAATATGTATGAGTGAATTTTATTTTATTTTTTCTCTCTTTTTTTGTCATTGGATTCAACTCATTTGCATATATATTCAGAAAATAAAATTATCTCATATTTTTACAAAATAATTACTTACACGGTTTTAACACAAAATAAATTGTCATCAAAGTATTAGACAGATTAACATTAAACAAAGTTACATAACTTCACATCCTCAAAAATGCAATTGTTAGGAAGGCATTTAATAACGTCTTCTTCAAAAAGATTAGTCTCACACTAATGCCTACGAGGATATCTTATTCAAAGATAATAAAATAAAATTTTGACATACGAAAAACTAATGTAAAATTTGTGGCGTTCTGTTTTAAGATTGAATGAAAGAAATAAAGTAACTTGTATTATCCACTACTTAATATTTGTTAAAAAAAAATTAGTAAAAATAATTTATATCACTTGGCCAAAAAATCTTAGTTCACCAAAAAATAATAAACTTATACAAAATATCCATCAAAAAACAAATTCATCAAATAAAGACATGCTTTTCTGTTTTCAACAACTAAAACTCAAAATAAAATTTATTTGGTTATTTTTTTATTTAAAAAATTTGTTTTCCATAATGTTTTTTGCGATTAAAAGCATAAGAATACATTATATTTTTTAATATTTTTATCATGTAAATAATTTTAGGGGCTTATAAATCTTATGTTACTGCAACAAAAATAAAATTTGCAAATGATACAATAAAGAAGAGAGAAAAAGTGAGATGAAGAAAGAGAAAAAAAAATTTGTAATCCCCACATCTTTATTGTCTCAGCATCAAAAAAAAAAATTGGTGCAATAACATAAGATTTATAAACTCCATAATTTTAAGAAACAATTATATGAAATAATTTAAAACAAATAGAACCAAATTCAAGCAGATCCTAAAAATCAATTCTTAAAAACAAAATATCAAACAGATCCTAAAAGATTGATATAAAATCCTATCAAATCCCTCTTCCCCTCTCTTTCAAATTTTTCAAATTTTTTTATGGGTTCGTTTTTTCTAAAGTTACTTTATACAACTTTATCTAATATTCGCTGAAATGACGTCGTTTTGAGACAGAAATTATGGTGTAGTGTATTTGTAATTTTAATTTATTTCAGGGTTATAATAATATTTATCATTCTAATTTTTTTAATTTTTCAACCTCAAAACGACATCGTTTCGGTGAACATTAGACAAAATTGTCTAAAGTAACATTAGATACTTTTTTCCCTTTATTAATATATTAATTTTTGAAATATTTCTTACTTCATTTTTAAATAAAAAGTAAGGATATTCTAACTACCAAAAATTCTTACTACTAACTTACTACCCATCATATCATCATTGGATCAAAGAGAGAAAATGTTAAAAAAAATTGAAGAGAGAGAAAATGTTAATCTAATAGTGATTAGATAGATAGTAGGTTAGTAGTAAAAAAAATTGATAGTGAGAATATCCTCCTCTTAAATAAAAGGCACCTTTTGTACAACTTGAGTGAAAGAACTAAAGTCTGGTGTTTATTGGTTTAGACAAACCCAAAGAATATGAAAAAGCAACATATAACTATATATTCATTGTTTTCCTTAATTAGAATTTTCGAATTCGAGTCCTATAAATAAATAAAATGACATCAGAAAAGCCACCCTCAATATAGGTTCGACATTACTTGAACTAGATTACACCGTTTTGGAAAAAAGAAAAAGAAAAAGAAATCCAAATCAAATCCATTAAATTTGTTTGAATAGATTTATATGATCGGACTTAAAATGAACTGAATCATGAGATGCCAAAGAATATTTACTTTCCCAACCACAAAGTGCAGATTTCTCTCCTACACAAAAGCTATACAAGACACCCAATGGCAGATAAAAGAGTTGAAGTTAGCAATTAGCAAAAGAACAGTGATCACTGCATACTATTATCACCAAGTTTAGATGGCACTATGGCAGTAATCATCTCAGCCAGTAGTTGCCCCTCTTGACTCTGTCTGCTTCTTCACCATAGCACCATGTTTATGCCCAGTAAGGTGAGCATTAAAAACCGTTTCGCTGTTACATACCACATTGCATAGAGTGCAAAATCTAACAGCCCCTGCTGCAGCCCCCCCTTCTACAACTTTACGCTTCTTTGTCTCGATATCCATTTCTGGTTCCTTCTGTGATTTCAGTTTATCAGAATCTGGCTTTTCCTGTGGCCCGATTACCGGATTCGCCGCAAGTTGCAAAGCATTTGCTGTGGTGGTAGCAGCACCAGCAGCAGCATCAATTTTTGGTTTTGATAGTTTCTCCAAGTTCTTCAGGTGTTTCTTCCCAGATAAGTGTACAATATACACATCCCTGCTATTACAATTAATCTTACAAACTTCACACCATGCTGATTGAGCAACCTTGATTTTCTTTGGAGCTTTCTTCCAAGGACCAATACCTTGTCGCTTAAATGCAGCAATATATGGACCAATCCCATTATTAGACATCAAGCCAACCTATGGAAAGACCAACACTATTGTATTTCAGAAGGTAAAGCAAATAAAATGTGCAACTTCGCAAAATGCAGGTATTGAATACAAAAACTTGATTGATGGCACAAAGTAATAATAATAAAATCTTGTTGAAATAAGCAGTCTCCGTTTGCAAGCAGTTCACCATAAAATACAACAAATAAATTGTAAAGCTAAAAAAGGCAAATCTCGGTGTACAAAGCTCCCCAACTTGTGAAGGTAGGAGAGAAAGTCGATTGTATGCAACTTTACCCTTGTATTTTTAAAAAAAGGCTATTTCTCAAACTCAAACATGTGACCTTTCGATCATAAGGAGCACCTTTATCGCTGCTTCAAGGATTGCCCTAAGATAAATTGTAGAACTGATAATATAAAATTGAAAAATTGAATTACTTAACTGTTCATTTTCTTTTTTTTCTTCTTTTTTTTATGGCCATATCAAGTGCTCACTGCTTTTGTCAAAATTCAAAAACCATATAACTAGACTTTTACTTAATTGACCTATCAATGTCAAGGAAAACATCATAAGATATTTATTTACCATATTTAACAATTCAAAGGTTAGGGTTAAAATTTGGAATGTGGCTGGGCAATACAGAATTTCGTTGCAGTATAACAGTCAGACACAAAATTAATAATGACAACAGTACTTGAAGCAGAACAAAGATCAAGAATTTAGACAATGATAGAAGACCAATTCTCTTGCTGTTTAATGTTCTGCTTCTATTAGAATATAGAATAAGTTGAATACGAGAAAGAATAGTAAGAAAATAGCCCACAGCACTCAAGATCATAAAAGTGTGTCACCCGTGTGCATTGCATTCATGATGTTTCTCATCAGAACATGCTGCCCCAAGATTGCACGTGTAATAGTTTAAAAAAATTGACATAAAGCAAATAAAAATAAATAAATAAATAAAAAACATAATACAATATATCATCCAGTATGATATCTGTGAATTACTCTCTCTTTTTTCCAGTTACTTCTTCGCAGTGGATGAGTAGATCACACGTTTTGAATTAAACTACTCACTACTATGACATTGGGGGGGGGGGGGGGGGGGGGGGGGGATGTATAACCAGCCACTCGTGCAGACATTTCAACTAAATGGAACAGTTCATTTTCTGTATGGGCATTTCAGGTCCTCATTGCCTTCATCAAATTCAAATAACAGATGATAGATTTGCTTAATTGACACATCAAAGTTATTGAAGAAATCAAAGATATTTAAGTATTCAATAGTTATTAGTTGCAAAGTAAAAAAAGTGGAATTTGACTGGGCAATATCGAATTTCTTTGTGCTAAAGCATTCAAGACAAAAACAAAGTGTAATAACAGTGGTTGGAAACCATGAGCGAGAGATTAGGCAATGATAGTAAACCAATTGTCCTCCTGTTTAGGTTTATGGTCCTGTCAGAATAATTTGTTTAATGCAAGAAATGCTTGTTAAAAATTATGCCTACAAGAGTGTGCCAGCGGTGTGCGTTGTGTTCGAATATGCAAAAAGAGATATTATCAACTATGATATAGCAAAGTTATCAAATGCATATTGCGGCCTGTCGTGGTCAACCCTGAAAAATGCTATAGCTTTATAGTGGGTTGCGGTTGTGAAAATAGCAGAGTAGATCAATAGAAAAATCCTAAAATCCATTACCTATATTATTCTGTTTCTATCAATAAAAAAAATCAAAGCATGCTACTAAAACAAGGATAAGGACAGTGGTAGAAGCATCAACAAGATATAGAACGAGGAGAAAACAGAAAAATATGTAATCTCAGCATGGCATGTAACCTTATAAAAGGAGAATTGAATTTACAATTTTTACCTGAGCAGCATGCTTTTTTCCTGCTAGATGTTTGTTAAATACTTCTTGACTATTGCACACAATGTTGCATACCGTACAAACCTTTACAGAATCAATGGGCGCACCACCATTCAAAAGCTTCCGTTTCTTAGACTCTAAGTCCTTTCCTACGGCACCAGTTAACACTTGTGCTTGGACACTACTTGTGTAACTTTGTACACTCACATGAGAGGGTCCTGCTAATAATGTATTGGTGGAATTAATCTGTTCCTGCAAATTCCTCTGGTGTTTCTTCCCTATTATGTGCTTATCATAAACATCTTTGCTGTTACAATCAATTTTGCAAACTTCACATCTCATTGGTTTCGTGTCTTTGGTCTGGTTAGGTAACATTCCTGCAATATTATTAGTGAAATATTGATGTGACCATGTGTCATTCCATGTGGAAAGCAAATTTGCTGATGCTGCCAAAGTCTCATGTGATGAACCAACAGCCTGCATATTAGAAGAATTGCAATTCAAAACCACAGTGCAAATCTTCAGGGCAAAGGGAAAATCACACAAGACTCCTTGACTTGCAAGGGTACGTGTATTTTTGTAAAGAGATTGTTTTCCAGAATCGAACCTATGACTTTCCAGTCATAAGGAGCAACCATATCACTACTCTAAGGCTCGCCCGATCTGAAGCCTCCAATTAAATTCAAAACCCAAACAACAAGTGTCAAATGCACTTTACCTATCTAATTTATAAGTCTCATTTCACTTTTCACCCTAAATTAACAATATATATTGCAAATGTCCCATTTCAATCGGCATTAAATATTTGATAATCATTAACATAAATTACCACAAATACCCCTTATAAATTACCACAAATACCCCTTTGTCATCTCCTTCCTTCCCTTTTCAATTTACATTTCACAAATTCTTGTTAAAAAGAAGAGTAAATAGCCTTTTGGGTCCTCAGCAAATTTCACGATAAAAAGAATCATAGTGACAGAGAATATAAAACCTACAAGAAATATCCCGGTGAAGACACACATAATTAATTGCAACCAAGAGTTTGGCTTCTAGTTCTACTTCTTTAAGCTTGTATTCCATGGTGATCCATTTGAGTTCATGACCAATTAATTTGGAGAATTTAAGATTTTCATTGCTAGAAAACTTTTGTGTTTTCCTCCAAAATGAAAAATGACTTGGGGTAGAAAACATCTGAGTTGATGCTGAGGAGCATATGAAAATCTTTTATGAAAATCATGTCATTGCCAGACTATATTCCTTCCTTTCTCTTCCAATCGTATAAACCAAAAGAGATTATTGGAATTCCACATTTCCATCCACAAGTCAAAGACTTTATCCAAAACAGACAACAAGCTCTCTGATTTAACAACTTCCATAAAATGCAATAACAATTAAAAACAAAACAAAACAAAACATACATGCCAAAGAACATCAATGAGATTGCAAAGATAGATAGGCAGAAAGCACCCCAAATGGAAAAACATAAGAAAAAAACAATTTTGAAACCAAATTTGAAAACTTTGATTAAATGGGGGGAAGACTAACAAGATCATATCTGATGGGGTCAGCTTGTTTGACGATCCAGTTCTGAGAATCTGTTGTTTGGGCTCCATAAGCAGCAGAAGGTGTTGAATTTCCAAGTGGGTCGATGATGCCAGGAGGGTGAAGAGCAGAATCGGAGGGGAAAGGGAACGATAACAAGAATGGGTTTGCAGAATAGTATGGTTGCTGTATGTTGGTGTAGGGAACATGGTGTTGTTGCTGTGGGTACATTTTTACCAATTGATACCAAGCATTCAAGCCAAAACTCCCTCAAGTGATTCTATTTGCACTTTGCAGCACAACACTCCCATTGGAAATTGTTAATTGGAAGGTTGAAGGGAGACGAAAACACCACATTATGGGATCAAAGAGTAACACTGTCGGGCTTTGTTTTAAAAAAAAATTGGCTAAGGTTTTGGATTTTTATGGGCTTTCTTCACAGTATGGGTTTTTTTCTTTGGTTATATTAACGTGCTTGAACTTTTTTTTTTTAAAAAAAAGAGCAAACAAAAAAATGTAGGTTGGGCCTAATTTGTATAGATTATGTGTTAAGCATCTCTTATCTTTTTTAAGGGCATGTTTGGTGCATAGTATATGATAAGGCCTGATAGTATAAGAACTGAGTATAAGACATGATTAAATTTTAATACTATCCCGCGTTTAGTATGATATTGTATAAAATAATATTCTCTAATATTTAAAAAATTAATATATTAAAAATATTTTAATATATAAATATTGAAATAATATATTAGTTCTTGAGAATTGTACTTGTAAGCAATATCAATACATCAACCCCTTATCAGGCCTAATCCACCAAACCTAGGCCAGATTGAGTTATACATCATTTAGATGTATAAAGGGGTCCTGCTGTATAAGCTTATACTATACGATGGTCACACCAAACAACTGAAAATGTCATAACATATAGTATAAGCTTATACTATCAGGCCTTATACATCACACCAAACAGGCCCTAATTTGAGTTTGATATCCTCCACTTTCTTTCTTTTTTTGCCTTTTCTTTTTTATTTTTCTCATAAATTCTTTTCTCCATTTGGAATTGGTGTTAAGGAAGTTGGATAAGACAATTGAACTATTAATCAATAATTACTAAGAAGCTCGTCCCCTTACTTAAAGGTCTTGTTGAGTCTTAGAGATAGAAAAAATGATCTTGCAAGAGCCACCCTTATTTGGATTTGACCCTGCTCAAATCGGATTAAGTCGGGTAATCGATGAATTGATAAAATGAAAGAAAATTTAAAAAGTGAAAGAGTCATATCTCAATAAATATTGTTGTTTTAGATATATGAAAAAAATATTTTATTGAATTTGATATTCAATTAAGAAATACTGCTTTTGTTGAAAATAAGTGAGATTCAACCTTGGGATTTATGAAGGTATATTTTTAGGCTATTCACTCACAAATAAAACATATAGTGTCTATAAGTAGAGAACTATAGTAATTGAAGAGTCTATTTATGTGATATTTAATGAGGATGATGATGATAAAGACATAGGTTCTAATTAGATTATGATTGTTTGCTTTATGATATGATTTTCCTTTCCCGAGATAGGTTTTGCAATTTACTCTTATACTTAGAATTGACTATGCAGTTGGATCTCGTGCTTACCTATGACTATATTTGACTTGTATGGATCCTTACTTTGGTTAAATGATATTATAATGTTCTTCATATTTTATTTGAGCTTTCATTGCCCATTTATACATCTTACATCATTTATATGATTTGTTATATGTCTTGGACTACTTGATATCTTTTTTTTTTTGGGTACATTATTTGATATCTATTAGAAATAGAAATATTATTTAGGATATCTTGGTATATGGTTATTCTAGAAATATTATTTTCAGATTCTAGAAATATGAAAGAGAGAAAAAAAATAGAGTGAAAACGAAATGGGGATCTTCAATCCACCAAGTCATTGCGTGAAGTAACAAAAACCACTAAAAGGAACACTTGCAGACAGATAAAGAAGGTTTCCAAGAAGTCATTGGAGAAGACAAGCCTAAACCAAAATTAGAAAATGGGACAAAGAAAAATAAAAGAGCAAGAGTCGAATAAGCTCTAATGATAAAAAAATATAAAATTCACAGATCAAGATCACATCTGGAAGAAAGGGAACAAGGGGGGAACACAATGACTACTGTGGAATCTCCATTCATGGAGAATAAAAAGTTTCTTCTGATACCATATTAGAAATATCTCAATAAATATTGTTGTTTTAGATATATGAAAATTTTCACCCTAAACACTTTTTTGCTCATTAATTACATCTTTGTTTGATTATCACATACTTGAGCTCATTTCCATACTTTATGCACCCACTACTCTTCAATTTGGTTAAGGTTTTGGATTTTTTTGGGCTTTCTTCCCAAATATGGGTTTTTTTTTTCTTATATTGATGTGCTTGAACTAAAAACAAAAAAAGCAAACAATCAGACTTAACTTGTATCAGGTTATATGTTGAGCATCTCTTCTCTTCTTTAACTTGAGTTTGATCTCCTCCACTTTTTTTAACCTTTTCTTTTTTAATTTTTTTCATAGATTCTTTTCCCCATTTGGAATTGGTGATAAAGAAGTTGGATAAGACAATTAAATCACTAATCAATAATTATTGGTTGAAGCAATAAGGAGCTTGTTTTTCTTAATCAAAAGTCTCGAGTTTGAGTCATAGAAAGAGAAAAAAAATGTCTTGGAAGAGTCATCATTATTTGGATTTGACCATACTCCAATCGAATTAAGTCGGATAATCGATGAGCCAGTAAAAAAATAAATATTAAAAAGTGGAAAAGTCACATCTAAATAAATATTGTTGTTTAAGATATGTGGGAAAATTGTTTTGTTGAATATGAAATTCAATTAAGAAATACTACATTTGTTTAAAAAGTGAGAATCAACCTTGGGATTCTATGAAGGCATATTTTTAGGCTATTCACTCACAAGTAAAGCATATAGAGTCTATAATAAGAAAACTATGGTCATTAAAGAGTCTATTCATGTGATATTTAAAGAGGATGATGGTGATGAAGACATTGTGTCTAATTCAGTGTTTTAAAATCTCACCCCACCCTCGGGTTGACCCGGGTCAACCCTGACCCCTCCCCTCTGAGAGTTGGGGTCACAAGTTAGACCATATATGCACATCGAGTCGTCCGACCCCCAAAACCCAGTCGGGTTTCAGTGACTCCCGGGTCAGAGGGGTCAAACGGGGTTACTGCATGTTTTTTTTTAAAAGAAAATTTCATGAAACAACGTCGTTTTATTAAAAAAATAAAATAAAAATGCTTGCAAACCTAAATCTAATTGTTCTCTTCTCTCCCAGCTACCTATACTTGTGGTATCTTGATACTTTGGTATCATTAGAATATGAGTTTTGTACTTTGGTATCTTGATACTTTAATTAGGTTGTGTAATATTGACTTGTGGTTGTATTTGGTGAATTATATTAAGTATATTTTGAATCTTTGATGATTGGTGATTTATTTTTTAATATTTTCATATAGGATATATATTTATATTTTTTTAATATATAAAACCGGGTCAGCATAGTGACCCCGTAACCCCCCAGTTGAACCCGTGATCCCGTGACCCCTGGCATCAGCTGGGTCAATGGTCGGGCCGCGTTTTTAAACACTGGTCTGATTAGACCAGGCTTGTTTGTTTTATGATGTAATTTCCTTTTCTTAGCAAGGTTTTGCATTTTACTCTTATAATTAGAATTGCTTATGCACTTGGATCTCGTGCTTACCTATGACTCTATTTGACTTGTATAGACTCTTACTTTGGTTTAATGATATTATAATGTTCTTTATATTTCATTTGAGCTTTCATTGCCCACTTATACCTCTTACATCATTTATATGATTTGTTATATATCTTGGACTACTTGATATTTTTTATGTTATCAAAAGGGGAGAAAAATATGCAAATTGAGAAATAGCAACATAATACACTAGACAAATCTTAAAGGTTAAAAAAAGGGAGAAATAAATTTGAAAATGGAAAATGGAATAAACTACATAAAGGTAAAATGAGTTTGTTCAACCTGGAATCTTATTTTTTTTATTTTTCATTCCATTCACAATCTAAGGGAGAGTACTTCTGTTGGGCTTCCTCCTTCAATGCTAAGCCCAAGCCCATTGAGGGGTTTCCTAAAAACCCTAACCCTAGATCTCACCTCCTCTATATATTCATTAGTTGTGGGTGGAGGCTAGGTTAAGTGAATGAGAGAGAAAATTTGAGAGATAATTATTTGATTGTGTGAGCAAAGCCTCATGCTTTGCATTTGAGAGATCTCTAGAGAGAGTTTGAGTGAAACATCTCTAGGGTAGTTTGATTATCACCATTGTTGGAGAGGTTGAGTTAACCACCACATTGGTGTATTTGATTCTTTGTAACCATTATTTTCATAGTGGATTTTTTGATTTGGACTAGGTCTCGTGGGTTTTTACTTCTTCATTGAAGAAGGTTTTCCCACGTTAAATCTGGTTGTATTCTTCTTCTCTCTGTCTCTCTCTCTCTCTCCTGTTTTGTGTTTTTTGTTTTGATTTTTTCGCTGCGTTGCCCGACCTGGTGAAGTTCAGGCCAAGGTATTACTGAGATCCGAGATCGAGGATCTCATTGACTGACTTCCGCACAAAAGACCCCTGAGCTGATATGAGGGAACCGAGTTCCCAACAGTGGTATCAGAGCCCGAGTTCGACGGGTTCTGAGGGAGACGAGATGGACACCAGTGGCATAACCAATGATGGAGACATGTTCAAGTTGACCGCAGATAATTTTACCTATTGGAGACCGATGATGGAAGATCATCTCTACTGCAAAGATTTACATGAGCCTATTATCCTTGATGAGAGACCGACAGGCAAAACTGATAAGGAGTGGGAGATCCTGAGTCAGAAGGCGGTAGCTACGATCAGGAAATATATTGATAAAAGCCTCTTTGAGCACGTGTCCGAGTTCACGAACGCGTATGAGTTGTGGACGAAGCTGGAGTCCATGATTCAGAAGAAGACTCCCAGGAATAAAGCATACCTGGTTCGTCGACTTGTGAAGCTTGAATACAAGGACAGCATGAGCATGATTGAACACCTCAACACCTATAAAGGTATTGTGAATCAGCTGTCAAAAACTGAGATGAAAATTGATGATGAGATGCAGGTTTTGCTGTTGTTGAGCTCGTTGCCAGAAAGATGGGATACTCTGGTGGTGACTTTAAGTAATTCAGCTCCAAAAGGAAATGTTGAAGATGGA